AAAAAAAACAAAACCCCCAATTTTATTTTGTTGACCAAATTTTAAAATTTTTTTTTTTAAACGGGTGAAAAAAAAAAAAAAAAAAAAAAAAAGCGATTCAGTTTTACATTTCAAAACTGAACATCATAAAATGCACTTTACTTCTGTTAGAAATGTTATTTGCATTCACTTTAATTCCCCAATACATCTCAGACCGGAACCTGTTCGGACAGTATTTCTTTCCTGTTCTGGGATAGCCGTCATCTTCTTTGTTTCTGTATCAGCTGACTCCACTTCAGGATGACCAGCGGTGCCCTCTGCTGCACGGAGGCCAAACTACAACACTAAATGGATGCGATTGGTTGAAAGATTGAACCTCATTTCAGTTTAATAAACCATTAATCAACAATTAATAATAACTCAATTAAGTTTTAACAATCCAAATCATGTATAAAGATTTATGGACTTTTTTTATGGAAATCTCAGTGAGTAAAGGTGATGTCTGGAAAATCATTGCTGGATAAGTGAGACCTTTAAGAGTTTGTCATATAACTTTGATCATTGCGGCCACACAGGCTCTGGAGTAAAGGAGCAGTCTGCTGAGGCATGTAAGAATTAAACCTTTGACTGTCCTTAAATAAGTTAAAGACTTTATTTCAGTTATGCACTTAAATGTTTCTAATGTCTTTAGGCAATAGATCATCTAAGGAGAAAGAAACTGAACTTTATTTCTTAGGCAACTCTTTGTTTCATTTTGCTTTTAGGAAAAACTGACCTTCAGTGTGCCGGAGATATAAAACACAATTCAGGTAGTTAACAGCAAACATACCAACAAAATAATACCAGCAGTGTAATCTTCCATGATGGGTGAGCGATTCTCAGTATCCCTCAGGTGGAAAAGTAGAAGTTCTGCACCTTGGAAATGTATTTATAACCCATAACGTTTCTACATTTGGTAACATTACAGCCACAAAATTTTATGTTGTTCACTGGAATTTCATATGACAGACCAAGAAAAAGGTTTAGCATGCTTGGAAAGGTTATAAAAAGTAATCCATATTTTTTGTTTGTTTTGTTTAAAAGAGTCTTTGAAGACGCCCCTTTCACTGCAATTAAAGATACAATTCTTTTCTTTATATGTTTGACTTCTATACCAACTTTGCACATTTAGGAACTAAACTATTTGTTTTTTGTGATGTCTAGTTATTAGAAAATGTAACCACCTCAACTCAGACCCAGGGTTTATGTACTGCATAACATTTATAAAGACATGTTCTGCGATCACCTGCTCCAACAATGGGAACATGGATAATGAAGATATGGAAAGTGTTGCATAATGTTTTCCTTCAGGACATTATATCACACCTTCTATAATGTGGATTTTTATCTTTTGTTACTCGAGTTTCCTTCCCACATCGCTGTAATCCGTCTGTAATTGAGTGACCACTGAGTGTCACTGTTTGCCTGCCTTATTCGCAGTCTTCATTCGACTTCTCTCTGTGGAGAGACCGTTCAGAGTGGACTTTCTTCTCTGACATAGTCGGTTTTCATCACTTACCCGTTTCCCTGCTCCCACACATCAGAGGAACTCGACTCTGAACATCACCGTTTAACAACTTAGACCTGTCATTTCACTCTTTTCAACTCTTGAGAGTTTGTCATTTTTGATACGGAATTAAAAAAAAAAGCCACAGCTGTTGAACACCGCAGGTCACAAATTCACCGTGCGGTTCTGAATGATTGCCTGCAGTCTGAAACAAAATGACGATTCAGTTCATTCCCAGAGCAAAAGTAGTTGATGGAAATGAACCCATATTTATATAAATGCTTAATTAGCATCTATGTACATTTTACGTGACTCTTTTACCTGTAGGAGGGAAAATCACGCCGTCGCTCCCGGTGCGTTCAGTTGTTTGTGTCGGTGACTCAGAAAAAGCTGAGTCACTGCCGTCTCCCGGTGACCCCATGTGGTCAGCGGCCTTCTGCACATCAGGCAGCGTGATTTTAACCCCTTTGAGAAGTAATTGCAAAATACCAGCCTTTTGTTTGAGATCATTTATTTATGTATTATTATTTTTTTTTTTTTTTATGGAATTGTGTGGCATCCATGTACTGAAAATATAAAATGAATCAGCACTTAACGCTCTTATCAATAAGCTTTTTGTCTGTTATTTCAAATCTTAAAAGATATAAAATACATAGAGATATATTAAAGGATGAATAGAGACTTGAATATTACATTATATATAATAAATAAATTAAACGTCTTCTTTCAACCTTGTCCTTAGAAGCCGCATTCCTCATGTATTTTCTTCAATTTCTTTCTTTTTTTTTTGCTCCTATCATTTTCTGGATTACAGAAAGCGATGTGTTTAAACCGGTCTGTTCTGTTGTCTGTCAGAACACCGCGCATGGCTGAGAAGCTTAGAGAAAAAGATGTGAAGGAGTAAGGGGTAGAAGAAAAAAGCCCCACACGTTTGTTTCACAGCAGAGAGCTTTGAATGCGCCATCGCTGTAATAGTGGAAGTCTGACGCGGCTCAGCAGGGGCAATTTCAATTTCAGATGAAGAGGCGCAGTAAGAGGGAGTTGCTGTGTTTTTCTATGATTTGTGCATTTCAGAGACGATTTTATGGAGAGGATAACACACATTCACTGCAGGCCCATTTTTTTTCTGTGCAGAATAAACCGGAAAAAAAAAAAAACTGTTCAAAGATAAACCGAACTGTAACGTGTATTGTTTAGCTTTCATATTCAAGTTTAGCCAAAACAGCCTGTTGCGTTTATTTCAAACCGATCTGTTTCTTTAACACTTGCCACATTTAACAGACTACAGCATCAATGTGAATATTTGAACAATAATCATGAGTAGAGGCTGCCGACTCTGTGTGTGTGTGTGTGTGTGTGTGTGGGAGAGAAGAAGAAGCAGCAGCCTGGGCGGCCAAACAGCAGTGGGGTGGAAGGTTGCTAGAAGGTTGAATAAGAGTCTTTAGTGAAAAAAAAAAAGAAATGTTGTAAAGAGATGACTAATTCTGCGTAGGAGGTCAGCCTGTCCCAGATTATCCGGCCAAAGTGCCACCAGAACACAAGCCTGTCACAGAAGTCGGCGTCTTTTTCAACATGTCGTGTCCTGACACCGAATGAAACTCTGACAAGATTAAAAGCTTTCTCCTTTTTACTTCATAGTGCAAAGTTTCTATTAGCCACAGACTGTATGCCATTTAGTCAAAGACAGTACATAGAGTTTTTTAATTTAAAAGGGAGTCTTTGGGCCAAAAGCAAAAAATGTTTAATCCAAAATTAACAACCATAAAGTAACTCTAGAAAGACATAAACAGGGTTTGACAGATATATAATACTAAAATTAACATACTCAGACTGTTTTATCTTACAATTATTTTCATAGCATTAAAAATTTGAATATGTATTGATTTGTGCTCAGTGTAACTGCAAAAGATAAAACACACCATATCATCATGGTTTTTATGTTTAACCTTTGTACTTTCGAAGAAAAAGAAATTCAAAAACCTTACGGAAAAAAATCTTTTTTCACTGTATAAGAAAATCAGTAAATGTACAAATGTAAACCTGTCCGTGCTTATGATGGTGACTTCTTTAACGTCCAGACAAAAAATTTTTAAACTTCTTCCCATAGAAAAATCCTTTCTCACACACACTTTTCTAAGTCAGATGGTGATTGTTTTACAATCAGAACAACCCCCTTAAAAACTGGTTTTTAAGGGTTTTTAACTGATTTTTAAGGGGATTTAATCCTATTTACACATTTTTGCTAATTGATTTTCATAAATTTACTCTTCAACCTCATTCACAGACAGAACATCTAAGAGAATTTGCTTCTAGTTTTTTGTTTCAAAGTACGTCTATCAGGGGTGTCAAACTCCAGTCCTCAAGGGCCGCTGTCCTGCAACTTTTAGATGTGCCTCTGCTGCACCACACCTGAAAAGAATAATTAGGTCATTAGCAAGGCTCAGGAGAACCGATCTACACAGGGAGGAGGTAATTAAGCCATTTCATTCCACTGGTGTTTACCTGTGGCACATCTAAACACTGCAGGACAGCGGCCCTTGAGGACTGGAGTTTGACACCCCTGGTCTAGACAATAAATAAAACATTCTAGCAGAGTCGAACATTATTTAATCATTTATGGACTTTTTTTCCAATACTTCCTCATGTGTTTAACTTCAAACAGCATGAACTTCAATTTTAGAGTTCACTCTTTCACACACTATGAGGACGTTCTAATCATCTGCAGCCAATATCTGCTGAAGGATTGCAAAGACCGTAACCTTTTTTTAAATTATTATTTCTCATCATCATGTCAATCACTGGTATTAAAATTTCAGATGATTATAATCAGGCGTTTTTGTTCAATTTGGGATAAAGAGTTTGTGTCCTTCTTGAGCTCGTAGAAACAAAAGTTCTTTCACTGAAAAGGCTACGACCGAGCACTGCTATATCAGAATAATCAACACATCATTTTACACTCTGACCAAAAAGAAAACTGTATTAAAATTACTAGGGAAAAAAACATCAGGTCTCAGGGGCTTATGATTAATTCTTTATTTAGAGAAAAAATTATTTTATTCCAATTTGCACATTCAAAGAAACTAGGTAAAATAGTCGAATCAGCAGCAGCTGTCAGCCACACGAATCTACTTCAAACATCAAGATAATCTCAATCTGATTTCACCCAACTGCCACTCAGACTCTTCAGATTTTCAGATGCATTACATAAATCCCACTTTGACTCCCTGAAATTAAAAACATGCAGTCTTTTCCTCCGTGTCGCCAATAATCTGGTTTTAGGTGTGTGTATTGCCCCCTAGCGACCATGGCTGTAGACTGTTACCAGTGGTGCTGTTGCTACAGTAACAATCTAATGCCACGGTTACCATGGAGACAGCAGGAGGGAAGAGGAGGGTTGGCTGTGGCAACCGCTGACGTTGACACGTTTGTGCGCGTTTGCGTGTGTGTTTCTGTGTGTGTTTGTGTGCAGCCTTGGTGGTTCGCGCGGCTCATCACAGTCACACTCTCCGGTGCAGAGGTTCGCCAGGCGTCAGTAGCCATGACTGTAGACTGTTACTGTACTTCTGGTCAGGTTTAGCAGTAAGCAGTCTAGAGCCAAGGTATTGATGCTCTGACTTGAGACAAAGTGGGTTCAGATCGGGCTTGGAGGGAGCCGGTGACATGCAAAAAGAGGGAAGTGCAAAAGGTCCAACCTTGTTTTATTATTTTTTTTTTTTAAATAATAATAACGGTGCCACACAAACAAATCAAAGGTGTAAAGTGACACGATGCTCAGAGCAGAACACACACACACGCATACACACACCATTGGCAGAGGTCCTGAGGCTTGTCATACACACGGCCAGTCAGGACAGTTACATAGCCCACTTGTTGTCGTGTTTGTCGTATCGATTTCCATGCCGGTTATGGATGAGTCAGCCGCAAGACGGGGCCCAGACAGGAACACAGGGAGACGGGGCCGAAGCCGGGAGCTTATGCAAGCCCGGCTGGGTATCTGTGGAGCTGACGTCAGGACATTGCAGTTCGCCCGGGCGCTCAATTTGACAGATCTGTCTGTGTGCTAGAAGAAAAAAAAAAAGAGAACAGAAAAGTGGCTCAATGAGGGAAGTTTGTTTTTTCATGAGAACATAAAACTGACCAGAGAAGAAAGGTTGAAGTGGAAATTGGTCGTCAGAGGTTTTCACCTTAACTTTTCACTTTAACTTGTTCATGATATGCAAGTTTGCATTTATAACCAATATAGAAACGATGCATGAACATCATCAATGTTGCTGGAGACGGCCTGGTCAGCACTCTGCCTCCATCATCTACCTACACTTTTTGCTATTGAGTCACTTCCTGCTTCCATTGCATATCCATGTGCTTCAACTGTTCCCATATCAGTTCATTTGTTTTGGTAATTAGACTTTATCCTTTTAAGGTTCAGTTTTTGTCATACCAAACTTTAAAGAGTAATGAAATGGAACCTCAGGGGCTCCATGTTACCCTTTAAACTTTAACCCTTTCCATTCTGTACAACAAGGCATTTTGAACCTACATTCTGAAATCATTGTGCATCAGTTGGGTTTTCTTTGTAACATTCATGAATTATCAAAAAAAACAACAAAAAAAAAACCCTCAAATCTCAATCAATTTCAATCTAGTTGTACAGAAGTTTCTTTAAATATCTGTGCTTCACCCAATTCCTGTATATTTTTGTTTGTAATCCCTTTTGGGCAAGATGTCTGTTACTAAATCTGAACATTATGACTAATGATCAATTTGGAGGACTCATTTAATCAGTTGGTCTTAGAGTAGACTTTATATAGGCCATAGAAAATTAATTTAAGTCCTTGGTGTATCTAAACGTAACCTTTGCGGGTATAAATTGACGTCAATCAACGTCGATTTGGGTAGTTTTGAGTACAAAACGACCAGAACTACAAATTAGATAATGATGGAAAGCATTAAGGTGAGAGTTTATTTACAGATACAAAAAATGAAAGTAGGAAGGAACAAAATGTCAATGCTTTATAGAAAGCAACATTGAGCAATTTCATGTTGGCAGACGTCAATTTCCTTACCGTACACTTTGAGACGATTCTAGTGAATAACTTCGGTTGTCAAAGCGGCTCGGCTGGCGGCTGTGCTTAAAAAAAAAACTGACTAAGCGACCAAAACTACAAACTTACGAAATGGTGAGGACATGACCGTAAATACTGGATAAGGCGAACATGTGCTTTTCGTGAGGCAGATGTCGGGGAGTTTGCAGCGTCTCTGCTACATTGTCAGACAAACCGGAAACTTATAAATTAGAGTGACATGCGTTGTAGCATGTTTAAAGATGATTGTACAATTTGAGCAGAATGTAAAGGGAAAAAAAAGTCTGAACTCTGAAGACAAGTCATGTAATAACGCCTTTATTGTTTGTACTATTAGCGACCCGCAGTGTTATGTTGTTTTCCCTTACAGTCTAAATCCGTCTGCTTTAGCCCACTTCCAGCACCGCGGACAGCGACACGCTGATCATCTATGCCTCACGCCGCTCCGGCCTGAACACGGCGTGGTTCCCCCACCCCTCCCCCCGGGACGCAGGTGGATTTTTAACATTTAAAAACTGAGGGGAGACGCGTATTGACCGGAGCTCATTGTGATTCTGATCACATCAACCCACATCCCCTCTTCCAGGAGTTACCTTCGGGAGTTTTTTTCCCCCCCTCCCATCGTCAGCAGGCACCAGGCCTCCCCTCTCTCCTCTCCCCCGCCCCTCCCCTCTCTCCTCTCCCCGGGCACATAGAGACGCAACGCAATGCAGGTTATGCACGCACACAGGCGGCTGTAGCTGTGTCTCTTTAACACTTTGCTGCCGGTTGATTGGAAGCTACCCGCATGTGCGCAGGAATGACGCAAAATTGACTTCACCTCAACAGCGCGTCACTGTGTCATTTGAACATGAAAAAGAGGAAAAATAAGAAGCAGCAAAAAAAAAAAAAAAAAAAAAAAAAAAAAAAAAAAGGGGCCCCCCTTTGAGGGGGATCCCTTTTTTATCTCGTTTTGGGG